TTACCAGCCTAGTAGAGCAATTTCACACAGATTTTGATCAGTTGTTCAAATAACAGGAGCTCTTTAGGAAAAAAGGATTTTAAATGAAAAAGGATGTTCCTCATTTATGTAATATAGTAGCAAGATTAACCATTGGATTTGTTAGAATTGGACACAAGACAAGGGATACATTGATTTTGTTACGCAACAGTCTTTGGTTCAGGAAGTTGTTGACAGTCCCTAAAAGAAACACCCTCAGTGAGAAGAGGGTGAGGTTATCTTTAAGTGTTATTTTCACTAGTCATAATATAGTTTCAGATATCTAAATTCATTATTAGGATAGTGAAAACATAGTTTCCCCTAGTTTGACAACTTAAAAATGACAGATAGAAGTTGATTTTTATGATAAAACAGTCTGCCATAGCCAGTTCTAGACAGGGGCCAGTGCCCCCGTAGATCATGTCCTGGCCCCTATAATGGCCCCCTGTACTGAAGACATAATACTCTAATGATGATATGCACTGGAACAGACATGGTTACTGATAGGTCCTTTGCATCTATTTCATTTTTTTTCCCCTTTACAAATTCTGTTTTACTAATTATTCAAAAACAATAAGGTGATAGCTGCTGTGGTATTCGAGATAGGATCTCAGTTTTCATCTGCCAAATGTTTTTCAAAATAAAAAAAGAATTTGTTCCAATTCAGATTTTATACAAAACTGTAATTTTATGCTTGAATTAAGTCAAAAATATGTAAAATTCCTAAATTTTGAATGTATATTGATCCAATAAGACTTTTTATTTTATCTAATTATTATTAAATCTAATTAAATAGGAATTTCACTTTATGCTGTCCCTAGGCCGGTTTTTTATTTCACGCGTTTCTGTGCCACCATGAAAACACACTGCCCCCCTTCCTGGCCCCCTGGTACATCTGGTCTAGAACCGCCAGTGCATAGCACACCCTTTGTACCCAAACCCTCACCATTCTCTGCAGGCATTAGTCTGACAGACGTTTTCACAACCTGTTCAATACTGATGTCCACAAGTGAATGTAGGACAGTTTGCAAACAGAAAGTAGGATCAGNTAAACTAAAAACTTTGAACCATCTGTATATATAACTGCAAAGGATTTCTACATTTTCTTACAAAAATTACCCAGTTATTGGGGCTTGCCATAAGCATTGCATAGGAGGGCATTGACTTATTATGCTGCGTTCACACTAAACGCAGCAAGAGCAGCAAAAACTTGTCTGCAGCTTCATTGTTGATGTTTGTAGAAGTTTAGTTCTGAAAAGTGGGTCTGATGCGCGTTGGGCAGAGCTACCCTATCCTTTCTTTGCCTGGCAGCTATATTTGCTGCGATCAGAGGGAATAAAGTAGTTTTAATATGTTTTTTTTTTTTTTTTTTATCTAAACCAACTTTGCATTTCAGATATTTTGAATTATCATTCAGACCTGTCAACATTACACAGCATTTTTTGGTGGAAATTTAACAAGAAATCTGCTACAAGATTATATAAATGATGCACCTCTAAGTGTTTCTTACAAGTTTATAGTACTCTTTTTTCCCCAACAGCTTCTATGTTATGTGAACCACTGACTCAAAATGCATGTCTATGTCAAAATGACTATTTCTGTCTTCGGTCTCATCTAGTAGAATAGTTTTGAGAGTGACTACGGTAGATTTTGAGTGACCAAAAGCTATTAAAGTACAAAAAAATTTATGAGGCGGCTTAAAATGGAAAAAAAAAAAAAAAAACACGAGCAATTTCACACAGATTTCGAATCAGTTGTTTACATAAGAGCTCTTGAGGAAAAATATTTGAATTTTAGTCATATTAAATTAATTCATTTAATTTAATCCATTAATCTATTAGCAGGATTTGCTATTGGTTTTACTGGTCATAAGACAAGGCATATAATTTATATTTTTTATATTTAAGAGCGTTTGGTTCAGAAACTTGACAGGCCCCAAAAAGAAAACAGAGCATGAAGTTTTGACATCTTGAAAATGAGAGTCAAAAGTTGATTTTTATGATACAACGGCATGCCATAACTTCATGCCGTTTGGAAAGCAGCAGTCACCATTTCCTGCGTGTATTAGTTTAACAGTTAGCAAAGACGAAAACAATAGAGGAAGTAGGATCATAGCTCTTTAGAGGCAGTGGGTGGCTCTTAAAAGAGCCGTTGGGTTGTTGTAATGTTGGTTGCTTAGTTTACTTGGAGCTGGTGTACTTGGTGACAGCCTTGGTGCCCTCAGACACGGCGTGCTTGGCCAGCTCCCCGGGCAGCAGGAGGCGCACGGCGGTCTGGATCTCCCTGGAGGTGATGGTGGAGCGCTTGTTGT